GTTAACGGTGTTACAGCTAAAGATTAATTATTTCGAGCTCCGGTCAAATACAAACTCATTATATAGGATACCCCCACTTGCACGTCTCTACACGAACGACCTGGATCAAGTCATTTGTAACTATTACAAAGTGGGACGTATCCATAGTGTTACCAGAATAAGGTACTCAACATTATCCATATACTATAGACCCTTTATGTTACTACTGGAACATTATCCACTTGTATATCGAATATATACTGTATATATATATACTGTATATCAAATATATACGATGTATATTAAATGTATCCTGTGTATTTGTTATATACTATTCCAGTTACATGACATAACCTTGGATGTTAGTTTATTGGATTTGAGTTAATGAAATTCTATCAATAACAACTTTATTGAATAAATATGTGTTTTATGTTTACAAACCACGAGTTTCTGGCATAAAACCCACTATTTTTATCTTTGTCGAACCCGATCCAAGTCTAGGTCGAAGCCTGTGTAAAAGTCAGGTCAAGTTCATTTTATCTTTCGGTTAAATCGAACTCGATCCAAGATCGAGGTCGAAGCCTGTGTAAAAGTTAGGTCCTTTGCACTTATCATGTTGGTTAAATCACACTCGATTCAAAATTGAGGTTAAGTCATGAATCAAGTACAAGTCCTTTGCATGTTGAGATCCCGCTTGGTGTCAAGCTAGGTCCATCTCTATCTTGCCTTGTTTGAATAAAATTTTTGCCTTCCCAATACTTTGTTTTTTTGCCTTTGTCTACTCTTTTAGTTTTGCAACGATACACAAAAGAAGGCAAGCTGTAGACACCGTATTTAGTCCGACTCTTTTTATTTTATTTTATTAATTTAGTATTATTAATAATTTATTTTATATCATATTTTATTTGGGTTTAGTTTTTTATTAAGTTATTCTGTTTAAAAAAGTTAAACTTTATTATATTTGTTTTTTTAAGTCAAAATTTTAATTTAATTAGATTTTTGTATGTTAAAAAAAGAAAATGGTTTAAGTAAATGTTTTTTCGTTTTAAAAAAAATGGATTATGTCAAAGCCTTTAACATGGCATTCCTTCCATCTATTTTCCTCAATTTTTTCTCTATTATTTGTTGAGCCTCCATGTTCCCGTTGCGTTGTACCGTATATAAAAGAAGGTTTCTAATGAAAAAGGGGAGAAGACAAAAAGTACAGTGTAGAGAACATAGAATATAGAGTAGAAAAGAAAGTAGTCAGGGCCATTTAAAATTTTATTAGGAAATACACCTCTTCCTCTTGAAGATAGGCGGCAAACGAAATCTTTGGCTTGACTCCATTATATTTAGTGGCGACGAACCTGAGAACCCCGACGACTTGAACTGTAGCAGTAAACGACGGTGGAATCCAAAGGTGCAGATATAGTTTCGAAGACTGGCAAGCACACACGAACAACCCACGCGAAGCCTCGGTGACCTCCACGATCAAGCAAAACTCCGACGAATCAATATTTCGATGAACCCAAATCGACTCCAACATCACATTCTGCTGGCAGACGGTATACCACGAATACGTAGAATACTACGTATACATCATTTAAAAAATATTCTCCTTTTTTTTAAACAAAATTAGTTAATAAAACAAAACCTTTCAAAATAAGTAAGAAAATCTTTTAAATTAAGTTTAAATAAGTTTTGAAAACAAAGTGAAGGATTTTGATGAACAAAATTTGTTATAAGAAAAGATTTTAATTGGTAAATCCAAACAAGGTTAAAAAAAACAAAAAGATTTTGTTTTCATTTTTTTTAATTTCAAATAAATTGACTTAAAAGAAATTATTTTGAAATAAAATATTTGTTAAATAAGTTTTAAAAAAAAGTGAAAAAAGAGATTATATAAATAAGAGATTTTTTTAATGCATAAAAAATTAAAATGAATTTCAAATTCAAAATAAATAAAAAGTTTTTTTTTCTTTTTAAATAAAAGATTTTGTTTAGAGTTTTTTTAACCAAAATTTAAAAATGAAAAGTTTCTATTTTAAAAAGAAAACTTAGTTTGTATTAAAGTGTTGGTATAGTGGCAACGAGCTTAGATTTTAATATTCTTGGCCTTGCGTGTCTCAAATTAAAAAGTGTTTTATTTTATAAAACACAAAAATATTTTTCCTTTGGACCAATAAATATAACACAATAATTTATGATAAGATTTGGTAATTGTTTTTGAACGGGTGTCGTAGGGTGCTAACACGTCCCCTATGTTCAATCGACTCCCGAACCAACAATCTGTTTTTTGTAGACCTTGTATTTTTAAATAGGTGACCAATCACAGCTCGTAGATGATTGGTGGCGACTCCAAACTCTCACCTCAAAAGAGACCCTTCAAGGGATGACGCCCACCGCACCGCATTGCTATGACGTTGCGACACATATTACAAACTCATGAGCTTAAGGCACTAAACCCTACATACCTTAAGGTATTTGTCGGGTTTCTGCTTGGTAGACATGAGGTGGGTCTCCATTCGCCGATTGACATAAGAGTAATGGAACTGGTCGAGAACTTGAGAGCTAAGTCTTGGTAGCTCGCGATCGAGTACTGAGGGAGTTCTGGAACCATTGCCAGGCAAGGCCTAGGAAGGTTCTACTCTAGCGATGTCATGATATGAGGAAGCGTGATCCACGGGATCCGCTGACCCATCCTACTTGTCGATGCACGTTGAACTCCATTGGAAGCTCTATGGCTAGGATGCTGGCCGTGAATGGTTCTTATGCAATCTTCAAGGGTTTGTACTAAGTGGTGGGCCCGTGACCCCTAGCCCCGAGCTTAGTTTTCACTCGATTGAAGATTTCTTCCTCGTTCGGTCTAGTTCTTCCTGGTCGATCCCCGCATGGGATCCACTTGGTCAACTAGAAGTCTTGGTGCTGGTTCGAGATTCCATGTTGGAGCTGGTCACTCCACATCAGGATCAGCCTCTGTTGAGCCTGTCCCAAAGGTCCTTCAAGCCCTCGGGGAGTCCGAGCGTTGCAAGAGGGTCCCCATTAAAGAGTCCCTCCCTTGGTGGAGCTCAGAGCTTCCCTTCAACTACCTCCCCTTTAACCGCACTGCCATTAGGAGGGGGGAAGGTTCCTCGAGTTC